CCTTTTGGATCGTGGTGCTGGAGGAGACTCTTGAGAGTCCCCTGGATGGCAAGGAGAACAAACCTATCCATTCTGAAGGAAATCAAGCCTGAGTGCTCACTGGAAGGACAGATCCTGAAGCTGAGGCTCCAGTACTTTGGCCATCTCATGAGAAGAGAAGACTCTCTGGAAAAGACCCTGATGTTGGGAAAGTGTGAAGGCAAGAAGAGAAGGGGACGACAGAGGACGAGATGGCTGGACAGTGTCATTGAAGCAGCCAGCATGAATTTGACCCCATTCCGGGAGGCAGTGGAAGACAGGATGGCCTGGCATGCTCTGGTCCATGGGGTCACAAAGTTGGACAACAACAATTAAAATAGTTTGCTATAATCCATGTTTTTCAGCATCTGGGAGGGTGGGCTTGGAACCAATCCTCCATGGATACAAGGATCCTACTGTTAGCTTGGAAATTAAGTCTGTGTTTATTTCACTGCAAAGCAACGCATGTCAAATGCTAGATACACAGGTGGAGAGGAAAATCACGTGTGTGACGCCTTAGTCCACTTGGGGGAGGATGCTTGCAAAAATAGATGACAAATATATCATCTAGTTTGACTCCTAGTCTGCTTTTAAATATCACAACTCAAGCAAAGACACCACCTACCCATCACTTCTATGAGCCAACAGATTGGAAAAGTTACTTTGGGGGATTATAATTCTCACAACCTTCCAGGTACTGACTCATGTGTCTTTCTCTGTAGGAACGGGGCCACTCCTGTGTCCTGTCTCTTGCCAGCCCTGTCGTCTCTGCTCTGAAATGTTCCCCTGTTGGGTGGTTTGCTTCCCCCTGTCTTTGGTGGCTTTCCTTCCAGTGGAATAACAATGGGTTGACACCTTGCCCCACCCCACAAACTGATACTAAGGAAGAACCTTGAGGTCACTGGCTTGGATGCTAACAAAAGGTGCCTGCTTACAGCAGCTCATTCCATTCATGGATAAGTCTCGAATCCAACAGACTTAGGGTGCGATCACGTGGGCACTTGCTGTAATTTCGACTGCTTGTGGTGTGCTCCAGGGTGAGTTATTGACCAGTGCTCACATGACCAGTGGGGAGAATAGCACCCCATTTCATCCCTCAATCATGTCCAAGTTGGCCTTTTTTTGGTCCAGCAGCAAGGTTACTATTTTTGTGGGCGTGGTTGAAGCGATTCCCACCTGGGCAGAAGAGGGTGATGGGTCCTATTCATCTGACCCTTTTGCGTGTGCTGAGACACGAAGCTTTCATAGAATCCTAGAAGCATGGCGTTGTAAGGGGGGGGCACCCCATTTCATCCCTCAATCATGTCCAAGTTGGCCTTTTTTTGGTCCAGCAGCAAGGTTACTATTTTTGTGGGCGTGGTTGAAGCGATTCCCACCTGGGCAGAAGAGGGTGATGGGTCCTATTCATCTGACCCTTTTTCGTGTGCTGAGACACGAAGCTTTCATAGAATCCTAGAAGCATGGTGTTGTAAGGGGGGGCCTCTAAGATCATTGAGTCCAACCCTCTGCTCAAAGCAGGGGTCGAAATCAAAGCAGATCTGGCCAATTTTCTCTTCAAATTTCTTGTCACCTCATCACACCCTCAGACGCCACTGACAAAAAACAGGCAGGGGATTTCTGCTAATTCCCTTTGTCTCTGTGGGAAACGGGAGGCAAGAACTTCCCCTGTGTGTACTAACAGGTGTGTCCCGTGACCAGAGACATTCCTACGGTGATGAAGAAATTTTGGATCCTGTCTCCGAGTAGTTTCTGAAAGTTGCCATCAGAGTCAGTAGAATTCACAGAATGAGAGTGGTTTTTTTCCAGAGGAGTGAAGAACGATGACTGGAGCAGCTTAAAATGGCTACAGTACGGATGAGACTAGAGATGGGCATGGATTGGCGGTTCAGTGCTTCGTGCTGCCTCATTTTTAAGATGAATGTGTGTTTGGTGCTTCCCTGCCCCGCCTCCTCCACCAGATGCCCACTCAGGCAGTGCCTTGGCTGCTTCGTGCTGCCTCATTTTTAAGATGAACGTGTGTTTGGTGCTTCCCTGCCCCACCTCCTCCACCAGATGCCCACTCAGAGGCAGTGCCTTGGCTTCTCCGCCCCGCCTCCTCTGGGTGCTTCCTCTGAGTGGGTGCCTGCTGGAGGAGGCAGGGCAGAGAAGCACCAAACACATGTTCGCCCAAAAACACAAACCAGCACAAACTACCAAATCAGTGGTTCATGCCCATCTCCAGAGGAGACCAGTTACATTCAGTCTCTTAATCCCTGAGAATTCCTGGAACTACCGTATTTTTCCATGTATAAGACTATATTTTTATCTAAAATCTTTAGACTAAAACTTGGGGGTCGTCTTATACACGGAATAAGCTGAGGAGATAAAAATTGAGGTTCGTCTTATACATGGAATAAGCTGAGGAGAAAAAACCCCAAGTGGAGGGGAAAGCAGGGATCAAAGTGATCCTGCAGGGCTTTGATCCCTGCTTTCCCCTCCACTTGCTAAGCCTTAGCAAAAGGAAAGCAGGGATCAAAGCGCTGCAGGATGGCTTTGATCCTTGCTTTTCCCTCTGCTTACTAAGTCCCAGGGGGCTTAGCAAGTGTAGGGGGAAAAGATCAAAGCGATCGTGCAGTGCTTGATCCCTTTCCCCCTACACTTGCTAAGTCCCACTTAGGTTTCTTAATTTTGGGTTAGAAAAATGGGGGCATCTTATACACAGAAAAATATGGTATGTAGAAATGAATGGCATATTTATTCCCAATTTACCCCACTGATTATATTCGCAATGATGGTTGAGAAATACCATAAATAATCAAGTCAGTAAAAGTAATTCTGAAACAATATTTAAGCTGGCCAGGGCACCCCATTTTGGAATGGTGGAAATCAGCAATATTTAGACTTGATTCTCTTCTCCACTTTTCACAGTATTTTAATGTTTTAAAGGCTGTCGTCCGAGATGGTGTTCTTTTACAAGTACAGTGTGTAATTTGAGATTTTAGTTTGCTGATCTTTGCTGATCCCCAGAAGAGTGCTTGCCGGGATGGCTCAGCCACTGGGGTAGGTGAACTTTTGACTATAGACATTCCCACCAGCATATTGGAACAAGGTAGATCAAGGGCGGAATCTGGGTGGAATCTGCAGAGCCTTTAATATTTTGATGGGGGGAAGCCAATACATCTTCTGGGGCCCAAACTAGACCCTACAGTTAATTATATCACCAGAATTAGAGCTTATTGAATTGATAAAAGATATCTAGTTTTCCAATCAACAGACTCAAGTCATGGGATTTGCTGTCAAGTCAGACTTAAGTCATAACAGTGACTTGATTTGGACTTGACTCCCCACCCCCACCCCCAATGGCTGGGAGTCAACTCATGACTCAGAAACCACCTAACCTTCCTTTTTTTTAATTGGGAAAAAGCTTATTTTTAATAGGGACTCCGACTTCAGTCTCAGGATCGGGTACCAAACTTGGACTTAGGAATTGGACCCAAAGACCTGCCACCATCACTGCCGATCAGGATCTCGCCTGCCTCTGCAGTCTGCAGATTATTTTGATTTTGTTTATTGTTTGGTGGGTGGGAGGTTAGCACAGGCTTCATTTGCATGTTTGATTACTTAATTCCCCTTTTTTTCTGAAAAGAATTACATGCCTGGACAGATGATCTCGCAATAGCAGGAAATGTATTTTCTGTTTAACGTTTGATTTGACCCTCCGTATCTGCAGGAAGAGTAGTCAAAAATTTGGAATTTGCTACCTGTCCGATCCTAATGCTGATTATGCTCCCACCACTCACAGAAAACTGACGTTTTGTAAAAATCACAGAGTGGAAGCATCTTTTCAGGAGCCTTAGACATCCAGGGAGAGAAAGCCCAGCCTTTCAGACGTTTGGTTCAAATTTTAGCCAGCCATCTCTGTTCACACTTAAATATATCCAGTTTCTTCAACCAGTTTGATAAGTCAAATATCGCAGATGACAATGGCTGCAAATGCACTAAACATTTCTATCAGTTTAGTTCTGCTTCACCTATCATGATTTAATGTAGTGTTTAGTTCGGTGTATTCTGTGATACACTCCTGCTGTGAAGAAATTAAGATAAACTATGTACGCCACATCCCTCCCGTCTACAAAACCAGCATTCTTAGTCAAAGGACACAAAGCTTTCCTTATACAGCCTCTTTTATAACCAGGGCCACACCAGGTAGAAAAGCTAATGGAATATTAAACCAGTTGTCCACGAGGAAGATTATTATGGGAATGGAACTAGCCATACATGAATGAATGGCTTACAACCTTCTGGCTGGGCAGGAGGAAGTGACTGGCAATTCCTGGGAATAATATTTATCTACTGGTTGCATTTATAGGCCACCACCCGCTAGCTCAAAGGGGTGTACGTGGCTTCTTCCATCCTCAGTTTCTCCTCAGAACAACTTGGCACACAATTTTTCTTGGTCACTTTGCGCATAGCTGTTCATGATCTCTTCTAGACTTCGAGAAAGGAAGGCCAGAGTTTGGAAAGGTAAAATTTGGGGGACTAGAAGTCAGGTGAGCCCCCAGCTACTGCAGATGCTCCCCATGCTCCCCATGGGATTCTAAACATTGTATTCCAGCCCCCATCTTTTCCAAGTTCTGGGGAAGACATAAATATTATTCCAACACACTGATTTTTCCCACCTAAGCCTTCCAATTTAGAACAGACCCCAAGACTCAGCGTCAAGTCAAAGAAAGGTGTATAAAATGAAAATCGTGTTCCTTTCATCACGACAGTTTTTTCTCCCCAAGGAGAGAAGAATGTAAGAAAGCTACTGGTGTTTAATAAAGGAAATGGGTTCATCTGGTGAACATTAGATGTGTCAACAAGTCATAAAAAGAGCCACTACATCAAAATATCCCGGGAAGAGATTGTGTTCAAGAAGAACGAGAAACCGATGGGGAAATGAGGAGAAAAGAACATAAGACGGTCTCTGAAGCACACATCTATCTCCAGAAAACAAGAGATTGGTAAAATGGGTTTTAATGGTGCATGGATTGTTTTACAAGCTTCAGGTCCGCAACACACAAAAGTGAAGCTATCTGGATGTCCCAAAGAGGTGACATAAATCACATTCTCCTAATGGACCTCCTTGGAGTCCGTTAGTCTTTCTCCTCGCCATGAGTAATCACGTAAACGAGATTCTTGTAGTCAAGGTTACCCGAAGGATCCGGTGGGAAAGCACTGAAGGTCTGTTTAACCTGTGAAACAGGAGGAAGAAGAAAGGTTCGGTAATGTAGGATGTGATAAAAGAATATATGTTGGTGATTTTCACATAGATGCACAAAATCCGAGCCATTTCAGGCACAGATGGATAAATAGCGTCAATTCATGTTTTCTCATTCTTCAGCCTTAAATTGGGTCATCCCAAAATTAGATTGTGTGTGTGTGTGTGTTTTTTTTTAAACAGGCAGTGTGAATATCCATGTAAGTCTTTGGGATCATGCCTGCTAATGCATATATCTTTTATACAAATTTGCAAAATACACATGTTTCGAAAGGAATTTTCCTGGTGGAATGCATGCATATTGAACATTTTTTAAAAAAAAACCTATACCTTTTTGTGCCAATTTTTGAATCAGTGAGTTCTATTAAAAATGGAGCCGAGTGTGAATTTCAAAGGGTAAATGTTTTTCAATTTGTGGCGTTTTTTCGAAAAGTGTGAAATGAGATAAGGCCACACCAGATTGAAAACTGAACTAATTTCTCTGCTCTCCAACAGTTTTGGTCCTTGGTCTGTTGAGTCATTTATTCTCACTCGGAAAAAAAAAAACATGTTTTTGCTGAATTAGAATTAGAATCAGAATTCTAATTGCTTCCAGCCAAATAGAGGAATCATGCCAAGGGTGTGTAGGGTGAAATTAATCTTACCTCTTCTTCAGTGAACCGGTCTGCTTGGGTCATGAGCATTTCTTTCATGCTGTAGAAAGAAAAGAAAAAAAGGAAAGGGAAAAATATTTCAGGAAGAGACACGAAGAGATTGGTAGGGGCTGGACTTGATCATGCTTCCGGTCCCTCCCAACACTACAGTTTTAAGATTTTTATTTTATTCTAAAATTGTACAAGCCCATTTATGCATCCAAAAAAAGATTCAGCTCTTCCACAGTTCGGGCTGGAGTTTGGAAATATGCTGGGATTTTGTAATCCAAGAATGTAACTTTTGCACATTCGGAGATGATGCACTGTCTAGGCATCATCATTGTACCCTGTTCTTGAACCTGATTGCTGGGATGGAAATACAGAGTCGATTCTATTTACTCATCCATACACCTGAAAATATTTTACTGTGTTTCGTTTTATTTTTCTTATCCTGTTTTATTTTATTTTTGCAACATGAACTATGATCAAGAATGTGCAGGCTCCCGACACCTAGAGGGTGAGTCACCTCAGAGTTAGGAAAAATTACATTTCTGGATTGCAAAAACTAGAATCTCAAGCCAGCGTGGCCGATGCTGGCGGGGGATTCTGGATGTTGTCACTTACAAAAGTACTGCTTCTAAATTGCAGCCAGGAGGGTGGTGAGATGAATTGTTGGAGACACAAAACATTTTTTTTTGCCTTTATAATAATAAAATAATAATCTTAGAACTGTAGTGTTGGAAGGGACCTTATGGGTCATCTAGTCTTGCCCCTGTCAAGGAGGCACTATGGGGGAATCGAACTCCAAACCTCTCGCTCTGCAGCCAGAGACCTAAACCACTGAGCTATCCAGCAGTTCATTTTTTTTTCTGGTAATGTTTTGGTGCAATAGTATAACCTCATCATTTAGTGGGAAAAGCCAATAAGAGATAATGAAGGAAAGTGTTTTTAAATTATGTGTGGAGTGGAAAAAACAGAAAAGGAGAGCGTTTTTCCCCTGTTCCTCTTTTGTAATATGAGAAATTAGTATCTGTCTAAGGAAGGCAGATTGAAAGAAGAGGAAACGAGCATGTTTTCCACAGCATAGACCCCCTCCAAAAGATATTCACTCCTCCAAGGTGACTGCCAACTTTGGGAGCTTTAAGAAGAACATCACACCCTGTCAGGGATGGTGAGGCTATCTGTGGCTACTTGCTGGGGTGTAGCGGACCCAGGTCTTGTAGGGTTGAAGAGCTTGGGACTTCTTGACGAGCGTGGATTGTGATGCCATCTCATTCATTTTGCCTGAACTTACCTATATTCCCTCGCTGTAACTGAGAGAGAATTGGATTTTTCTGCAATGAATATAGTGCTGCAAGATATCCCTGTTGCCATTCAGAATAGGTGATGGTGGTTCAATCTTGAATTGACAATTAAAAGCCATTTACTTTACAAAAGATGTGGGCATCATTGTTTGACATGGACTCGTCCAGCTGCCTGCATTTCTGAACCTTACTAATAGGTGGCTATTATCATGCTCATGTCTTGCTTATGAACCTCCCAGAAGATACATCTGGGTTGTCTACTATGAGAATCTGGAGAGATCCAGAGATCCGGTAGGATCCAGAAGAGTCTTCTTGGTGCTCCCACTCTTTACATCTCTCTATCGGTCAACTGATGCCACAGCTGCTCCCCAGCCTCTCATACCTGAGGGAACTGCCTCACTTTGCCTCACGGTGGGGCCGGCCCTCAACTCATGATAGAGTTTCATGAATCTGAGGGAACTTTCTGTGCTGATTTGGCTTTCAAAGAGGTTCCGTCTCCACCTCCTAGAACAGCCATTTTCTATTCACTGGCGTGCACAGTTTTTGGAAAGAATTTGAGGCAAGGTTGGGGGGTGCCAGGCTGGTGAATGAGAGGAGGGGTAGGATATAATTATAAGCTTCAGAAGTTGAGCATGTCAGCCTTTGGCATCATGAGACATAAGGAGGACGGAGAAAAGCGCCCAGCGCTGTTTCCACTATTTATTTTATAGAGAAACAAAGATTCAGATTTTCCAAACAGAGAAGGACCAAGCTCTCGGCATCTGTCATTCGTCATGTTATTTGTTTCTTCTCAGGGTGGGGTGGCGGAGTGGGACAACATGAAGACAATCATAGGTTGTTTTTTTTCCCAGCCTGGCCCATTTACCTTGATGTGGAAGATGAGATTGTAATTTGTGTGGACTGGTTTCAGCTGGCGGCCATGTTTTTCCATAAAATTAATGTATATTCCAGGCCATTTTTTTTGTTTCCTAGTGAGTCACAGAAGTGCCACTTTGTGAGGGAGGAGAGAAAGAGTTGTTTCATGATTTGAGGTGATCTGGCAGAAATTTCTAAGAGTTCTGGATGCTGTCACTGAGTCTGTTTACAAGGAGGGTTTCATACAGTTCATATCAAGTCCCATCAAGATATTCTTTTGATGTTTAATCACGCCCTCATTGTTCAAATTTGGATCCACTGCTTTGGGTCTCACCCTCTGGAGTATCAGAAACAAAGCTTTCTCCACCTTCCACTGGACAACTCTTCAAACACTGGGTACTTATCACACCATTTCTCATGTCTGATCCTTTTTTATCTTTTGATCAAATGCCTCCTACAGCCTTAAGGCCAAAAGGAATGAGGCATTCAAATATGGTCTCCACACTCTTATTTCTGCTTAAAAAGCAGACACGGAGAAGTCTTAGAAAGATCAAAATCCTACGTGAGGAAGGCCTAAACATTTGTTAAACTAAAGAAGGACAATCCTGGGGTGTCTTGGTTTGATTTTTCTCCCCCCCCCCCAGGATCTTCTGAAGGCCACAGTACCTTCAAAAATGGGAATAGGTTCACTTTTCCACAAAGACCATCATAGAAGTTACAGGGAGCCAGATTTCAGCTGAATATCAGGAAAAACATCTCAACTGTTAGAGCAGCATGACAATGGAACCAGTTACCTTGAGAGGGGGTGAGGGCTCCAACGGTGGAGACATTCGACAGAAATGTAGACAACCACCTGGCAGATATTCTTTGGTTTGTATTCCTGCATTGAGCAGGGGGCTGGACTTGATGGCCTTAAGAGGCCCCTTCAAACTTCATTATTCTATGATTTTTATGATTCTATGAAGCTTAGAATAATTGAGTTGGAAGGGGCTTATAAGGCCATCGATTCTCAATGCAGGAATCTTGGCGGGGCTTATAAGGCCATCGAGTCCAACACCTTTCTGAATGCAGGAATCTTGGTCACTTATTGAATAAATGAACTTTAAAATCTCATAGATGTATTTATCCTTGGCGTCCCTATCATTTTGTATCTCTAGGGGGAAATGTAGTGAGAGAACTGCTGGACAGTTCTATGTTTTAGGCTCCAGAGGCTGTGAGTTTGATTCCTCCTTGACAGGGGCTGGAGCTTTCACCCTGACAGCAGAGGGGGGGGGGGAATACATTTTTTTTCTGAATGTAGAAATAGGTAGTTGATTTAAACTCATTGACTGAAGTTCCGCATAGTCAAAGCTATGGCTTTTCCAGTAACGATGTATGCAAGTGAGAGCTGGACCATCTAGAAGGCTATGTGCCAAAGAATTGGTGCTCTTTGAATTGTGGTGCTGGAGGAGACTGCAAGGAGAACCAATCTATCCATTTTGAAGGAAATAAACCTGGAGTGCTCACTGGAAGGACAGATCCTGAAGCTGAAGCTCCAATACTTTGGCCATCTCATGAGAAGAGAAGCCTCCCTGGAAAAGACCTTGATGCTAGGAAAGTGTGAAGGCAAGAGGAGAAGGGGACGACAGAGGATGAGATGGTTGGACAGTGTCTGCGAAGCAACCAACACAAATTTGACCCACCTCCGGGAGGCAATGGAAGACAGGAGGGCCTGGCGTGCTCTGGTCCACGGGGTCACGAAGAGTCAGACATGACTAAACGACTAAATACATTGGTGCCTCGCTTTACGATTGCCCCACATTACGATAAAACAATGGTCTGAATGGGGGAATTGCGCTTTGCGATGATGGGTTCCCTGCTTTGGGAGCTGATTCTTCGCAAAACGATGATTTTTAAACAGCTGATTGGCGGTTTCAAAATGGCCGCTGGGTCACTAAAATGGCTCCCCGCTGTGGTTAGGGATGGATTCCTCACTATACAGGCCGCCATATGGAGGATCTTTGCTGGACAGGGGATTTTTACCCCATTGGTACGCATTGAACGGGTTTCAGTGTGTTTCACTGGGGTTTTTATTTTCGTTTTACGATGTTTTCGCTTAACGGTGATTTTCCTGGAATGGATTCTCACCGTTAAGCGAGGCACCACTGTAACAAATTCCATTACCATCAGGAGGTGACAGAACACTGTAGCACTGTGTTGTCTTCCCTGACTTGTTACTTGCTGCAGAGAAAGGCAGAACATTCAGCTTTGGGTCGACAGAACACTGTAGCACTGTGTTGTCTTCCACCAACTTGTTACTTCCAGTGGAGAAAGGTAGAACATGCAGCTTTGGGTCAAATTCACTTACTCTTGAGAAGACCTCATTATATGCCCATGGAATTATGGGACCCGAGTAGAGATGGGCATGAAGTGGCGCTTTGTGCCAGTCTGTTTCCCAACTGAACAGGTTCGGTGCCCATCCCTCTGGCGGGCACCCACTCAGAAACAGGGACCTCAGGAGGTGGGGGCAGGGAAGCCAGGGTGCTGCCTTGGAGTGGACGCTGCCAAACACCTGTTGGGTCATCACCTGAACCACCATGAACCACCAAACCCATCTCTAGATCTGAGTCCTCAAACATTCCCAAAACTGGTAATAGATTTCCCCAACCTCTCTCTCTCTCTTTCTGGATTCACATGCAAGGATGTGTTGCCCAGTTTCTTGAACAGCTTAAACACCTTACACAAGTGAATGAGTGTGTTGGTGTGTGTTTTGCACACAGATATGTCATCTACATCTGTGCAAAGAAGGAAAACGTTTTCATGCCCCTCTAAGTTGGTTCCCAGATTCCTGAATAAGTCAGGACTCTCCAAGCGAGATGTGGAAAAAATGAAATTACCCAAAGGATGTTAATTGGATGGTGGTTCTTAATTAAAAGGACAAGCGTGTCAAGTGGTGGGGGTGATATTTTGCCATTGCTTGGTTCTCCTCTATTTTTTTTACCCAATACGAACATGTACTATTAATTAATACCAACCATCCTCTTGAAAGGGTCTGGATTTTCAAAGGGAAGAACGAGCCCTTCTTAAAAACAAAATTATTGCAGGCAAATGTCCATAAACGGGTGGAATTTGACAAATAAGAGCCAAACCTCAAAATATGGGCACGGAATTGATGTAATGGTTTATTTTGCAATGGCCAACCTTACCCTTGGGCTAATAAGCAAACATTATGTTCTATTTCGGGGATGAACCCATGTATGTATTTGGTCCAATGTGCTGGTTTAGTGTTTAATGTTTTAGACAATAGTGTGTGTGTAGTCGGTTTGTGGAGGAGGGGTGTTTGATGGGATGGGTGGATGACTTTCCGTCACAAAGAAAATTTGTATCATGAATTCGTGCTGTCCTTTAATCTCCCTGGGTGTTCTGTTGAGGAGATGGGAACCCCACTTCCGCCCCTGTGATCTGCAATTGGATGTTTGACAAAGCGACATATTTGTTTTCATCTATGGTGCGGTGTTTGCTTGAGGTTAGGGTTGATTTACTTACATTTGTTGTTAACTACCCAGCAAACTGTTCATCACTGACTCAGGCAACAGAAAAGAACTCGAAATAAATAAAGACATTGAAAACCTGGAAAGATGTTTCATGGAACCGGAGCGGTGCTTTGCATTAGGAGGGGAGGGGTTGGGCACAACCTATCTGTGCTTTGCAGCCGAAGAAAACGTGGCACATAACTCATCTATGCTTTGCAGCCTAGGAAGACTTTGTTTGGAATTGCACTGTGTTTTGCAGCCTGGAAAGGAGCACATGAAGGGGGAGAGCATGAAGATAAGCATGCTAGCTCCACTCCCCAATGTTGAGAGTCAACGTTTCTGACAGGGCTGGCCGATAGGTGTTGTGGCCTTCGCGGCCACAATCACTATCCTATGGATTGGGTTAAGACGCACATTCAACAGGAGGGACAAACAAGGTAATGGAACAGACTTTTTTCCCCACTTACTAATCTGCTTTTACGTAACCTTTTCCTTCGCGGTCGAAAATCCGAAAAGCGTTCAAAATGATCTCCTCCGGATCTGTGCCTGAAAAACAAACAGGATGTATAACTGAAATAATCCACCTGTGTGTGGAGATATCAGCAGGTATAAGCATGCACTGCATGATGGTGGTCTTCCACGCACTTGAGGGTAGGCAGCGAATGTGTGAATGGGTCCCGTATTGGATCTGAAATTTGCTGCCAGCTGAGTGGAAGCCATGAGCGTAGAAAGAAACCACATTCCACATTCTGTATTCACAGATCTATTGTCCAGAGAGTTGAGCTTTTCTGCCGGTGGCCCCGTCTTTGTGGAATGGGCTCTCACAGGAGCTTTTTCAGACTAGACACGGAACACCGTGACCTTCCCAGCATGGTGGTACCTATTTATCTACTCGAATTTTTACATGCTTTTGAACGGTTAGGTTGGCAGGAGCTGGGACGAGCGACGGGAGCTCACTCTGTCGCAAGGATTCGATCTTACGACGGTTGGTCTTCTGACCTTGCAGCACAGAGGCTTCTGTGGTTTAACCCACAGCACCACCATGTATTTCTTGATTCAGAGTAGCTTGTATGATTATTTAACAGCCCAGAGTAGTGTATAGCGTTGAGTTGTGTGGTATAAAAACAACAAACAAACAATAAATAAATAAATAAATAAACAAGAGTAGCTTCTCTTATCAAGGTGATAACATGCTGGTTTTGTCAAAGAAGGAATTTTATTTTATTTTATTTTGTGAACTTTTAATCTGAACTTTACAGGAGCTGTCTGGCATGCTGAACCCTAGCCCCAGAATGCAAATGTGCATGTAACCGATTCTTTTCCTGCACCCCAGAATGGCAGGGATTTCCCCCCCCTCCATTATTCTTGATCGGTTTCAACCTAGGAAGCCTAAGTTGTAAAAAATACTTCTGGTTACCTAGGCCACGGTAGCCCCTCTGCCATGGGAGGGAAGACCAACCATTCATGTGCCATCACTCCCAGTCACCCAGTTGGACTCAGGGGTATCTCCAGCATGTGAAGGCTTTGTCGTGTTTCCTTTTGTCCTAATACAGATCATGCTGCATCCATGTCAACCTTTCATATAGTAAATGTCCTCAGGCACCAGTGCGGCTCTGACTCAAAAATCCACATTTCCCAAAAACAATCTCTATATTTCTGCAGGCATTCTGTGACTACATTTATCATATCCCAACTGAAATCCTGTCCCTTTGTTACAGATGTGCAAGGCAAATGGTCTAACCTTCAGTCACTTCTATCCAGCAATTAACACACTTTCCCCTCAGACTCTCAAGTGTACAGGACAAAGCTTACAAGATCGCCCTTTAGCTATCATATAACACAACCTCTTGGCCAAAGGAGGCAACAGTGATGGAGACAGACAATTAGTGCCACTGAATGTGTTCCCTGTTTTATCTTGTCTGATTTGACCCTTGTTGATGTAGATTGGTATTCTTAGGTTGACTTCCTTCCTGCTCTAACTATTTTTAGATGGAATTCTAAGAACTGACATTTATTTTGCAAAGTCTGAGGTTGGGAGCCTGATTCCCCACTGTGCTTCCTTGGCATGGGCTTGAACCTGATGATCCATGGGATCCCTTTCAGCTCTGCAATTCAAAGATTATTTTCTTTCTGCTGTAAATACTCTTTGCTGCTCACTCCAGACACCAGCCCTGCATGACCATCACTTTGATTAAGAGAGAACGTATTCTCATATTCGCCTAGTGTGCCTTGTCAATGAACTTGTGTGAAACCAAGCATACTTAATAAATAAATAGAACCTTGCCTGATTCTTTAATTAACCAGAAATTAGGAGTGTAAACAGCTTGGTAACATGATAAAGAACTCAAGATATAAAAGGATGCTTTGAAAAATCCTTCGCCAATGGAGCTGAGGACCACGGTGCGAATTTGAACAAAGGGGATTTCCCTTTTAGCCGCCCTTCGTTCTGCTAAAAATGGATTGAAAGCCATCAAAGGTTGGTCAAAGGCAGGAGAAGGTTTGCCGTGGTAGAAGAGGCTGGAAATGTTGACGGGTGGGAGAGATTCCAACACCAGATGAGTAGCTCTTCAAAAAAAAAAGGAAAAGGAAAAGAAAAAAAAAGAAAAAGGAAAGAAAACCAAAAATGGAAAAGGGAAAAAAACAACAACACCCTAAAGCATTCTGTGTTAATCCCAACCACATGAGTCTCCAGCCTACAAAGAGTAGGAAGAAATGCAATTTGTATACCACACAGAGATGCCGCCCAAGTTCAAAGGGCCCGCTTTACACACCAGCTAATCAATAGGGAATGGTGACCACAGAGTTCCACTTCAAAGCTGGAAGTCCGGCAGGAGAGCCAGATTACCAAACAGCCCCGTTGCTTTGCTGCTTTCTCGCTTGTTTTCCCCACAACGAAGGGAAGGGAAGGGCGCTCCAGCCCCGATGACTTTTTAAACCTTATTTAGGTAGGACCAACAAGTGAAAGAAAGGAACCGGAGGAAAAGAAGGGAACGGGTAGCAGCTGGAGCATCCGCGGGTCTTTTTCAGCCTGGACCATCATCTTGGAGGGACCAAGATAAGACCGAGATCAGCCACACTCTTGTATTTCGGATGCCCCTATATGGGTGTGAAAGCTGGACAGCGAAGAAAACTGACAAGAGGATAAAATGATTTGTTTGAAATGGGGTGCTGGAGGAGAGCTTTGTGAATTACCCTGGACAGCCAGAAAGATGACCAAGTGGGTCCTAGATTAAATCAAGCCTGAACTTTCTCTGGAGGCAAAACGAAGGCTATTCTACTTTGGGCACCTTGCGAGAAGACAGGATTCTCCGGAAAAGACCATAAGGCTGGAAGAGCAGGAAAGCAGCAGGAAAAGAGGAGGACCAGATACAAGATGGATTGACTCCCTAAAGGAAACCACAGGCTTGAATTTGCAAGAGCCAAGCAGGCAGCAAGTTTCCCTTTTCTTCAGCCCTCGCAATGGACAGCATCTCCCGCTCCACCTTAGAGCCACCATCTCAGCTTAGAGGAAGCATAGCAGTTTTCCAAGCACAATCCTTCAGCACGTTGCTACCACTCCCTGGTTAGCTTTGCTCTGCTCTTATCCACACGCAATCAAGCAAGCATGCAAACAAAAATCCCCAATACAACAGATGCCCTATTCAATCATTACTGAATTGAGATCTTCTGAGAACATGAGCTGTTGTTTGTTTGTTTTTTTTAAAAAACCATCCTCTATTTCAGAATCAATCAAGGAAAACGTCTATATTTGGATAGACCTGTCAATAGTTTTTCTGTTAGACTTCCTTTGCATTTCTAAGTCTTATTCTTGGACTATCAAAACTCGTAAGGCTTTGAAAACAACAGTGAATATTGTGAAAGCTTCAGGATTTGTAAAATCTAAGGAATTATTGGCCAGAATCGTATTATTTAGGCTGTCCAGTGTAAGGCCAATGCCACAGAATCCTAGAATCATGGAGTTGGAAGGGGTTCATAAGGCCATCAAATCTAACCCCTTGCTCAAGGCATAAATCTCATCCACAGTTTGCTGCCAGTTACGAAGTCAGGATCTGCATTTCCTGCCTCACATCGCTCATATGACTTAACACATAACAAGAAGTACAGATGCCAACTGACATTTTCACGTTTGGATTTAATTGGACTTGATGATCTATAGGATCCCTTTGACCTCTGCATTTCTAAGATGGTTTATTTGTTTAACAAATGTCTATATCCCGCTCCCGTGGGAGATTTCTAGCAAACACATATTCCTACACAGAACCTGATGAACCTCTCCTACTGACACCACAGTCCATTTAAGGAGAAAGGCAGGGCAAAAATATTTTAAATCAACAAATTAAAAACAATGCATTTTAAAAAAATGCCAGATGGCAGGAAAGAACAATGAACATTTTTTTTAAAAAAAAGAATCAAATCAAAGTATTAATGAGAAAGGGAGGCTATACTGAAATGTCTCTCTGAAAAGGAAGATTTCGAAAGAGCAGTTCGCAGGGGAGGTGGCCATCACTAAAAAAAAGCCATGGCTTTAGTCATAAACTTCCTGGCATCCTACAGCATCAAGGCCTGAAAGAGGTGAGTTGGTTTGGGTGGCAGGAATGAGCCTGGACTGGGGCCACCATAACTGGATTCTATCAGGGACATTAGCAAGTCTCAAGTCTGTGTCTTTGGTACCAAGTTTCAAGTCCCAAGTCTGAATCTTTGGCACCAAGTCCCAAGTCTGAGTCTTTGGTACCAAGTTTCAAGTCTCAAGTCTGAGGGGATGGGTGGTTTTGGAGTTGTGAGTCGGATCTGAGTTATTAAAAATAAATCCAAGTTGACCCTGAGCTGAGTCAGTGGTCCGATGTCAGAGGGAGTCCCGTGACTTGAATCCACATCCCCGATTCTAACCAATGGTATGTTCCAGCCGACGTGATTGAGAACCTAGGCTTGCACTTTCCTAACACAGGAAATTAAAATGATATTCAAGGGTATGTATTTTCTCTTCATGGGTGCTGCCTGGAAAAATACAGAATTCGAACATCCTTGGTGGCCGTTTGCGATGTGCTGTTTGGACGGAGCCATCGATGTGGCTCCAGATGGTGAGCCAGCCGTGGCGCACCCCGCAAATCCAAACACATTAACACGATCTCGGGGAAGAAAGTCACAAAGGCAGGAGTAAGTCAGCCCATATTCCCTGGGGTTAAATAAAGATAACTCAGAAGTTATCTGGTTTAATGTTCATCAGCCTCCTGTACCACCCTGAGCCAAAGAGAAAACACCAAGTTTTTGTGTCTTTAATTCCCAATAAGAAACAGCTGCATTTCAAAGCCCCGTTTGCAAAAGGGGGGGGGGGGGGAACGACTCATTAAGGCGCTGAGATACCATCATTTCAAAACATAGAATTCATTTATCTTCCTGCGCCAAAAGGACCAGTCTCTTTGTAACTTTTCTCCAGTGTTCCCAAAATGAGTTTTTAAAATTTATTTATTTATTTATTTATTTATTTATTTATTTATTTATTTATTTATTTATTTATTTATTTATGCTCTGCAGGATTCAGATTCCTCCAAGGTGTAGCAATGTTGCACCTACGGTTGAATGTTTGGGGTTATTAACAGATTCTCCTGTTTTAATTTGACATTGCCTTCGAAGCCATGAGCACAAAGGGACGGCGAATGTACCATCGCCTGTTCTAAAACAAAACAAAAT